ACAAAAGCAGTGAGGTCTGTATCAAAACAAGGTCAACTCTAGCCTCGCTGCCATACAAAGGCCAGGTCACTGAGCAGACAACTGTAAAAAGGTCTATTGAGATCAAGTTCCAAACATCGTCACGGTCATGATATCCTTTGTTTAAAATGACTGAATTATTAATGTGTGAAAATGAAGAATACTGCACTCAACTCCCTACTGAGAATTAAAAATTCAACATATTCCAATAAATAAGCAACTAATCTGAGTCAAAATGTCTTGAAAATTACGGGGTGAAACGTGAAAAAAAATCCTTTTCAAGTCAAAATCAATCACTTAGTTAATGACAACTGCAAGCCTAAAACTGATTAAATTTTCTATACAACATTTGACAGAAGGTTCTGAGAATTTGGCTTTTACATCAAGATGATAATTATCTCCTTGGCTGTTTGTTTGCCAATTGAGAAGGATAATTTGCTATCACATATTCCTCCCGGATCAGTCAGCCAACTCTGAGTGAAATCATTTCAATCAGTGTATAAAATAATTCATCATGTTTTACTGAACAGAGATGCTGCAGAGATAACTTTCCTATATCATTTTGTCAGTGAACAAGAGAGTATTGATATATGCATCAGGTAACTGGCTTTCAGCTGCCCTCACCAAAATTATAAAGTTCTTAAACTTTTAATCGTACGAGAGATTCTTTTTTCGTGTACTGTAAATTAACGACAGAAACCAGTCTGGGCAAATTTTGGCATACATTCAATAGTTAATAAATTCAGAACAAAAATATTTGTGGCTTATGTCCCCAACTGAGTCACATCGCAAAAAAAGAGATTTTCACCATTTTTTGATTTAAATTTCTGACCAGTAAATATTTTAAACTAAAATTTAAAATGGAGTAAAACGTTTTCCTGCTACTAAAAGCCTCCTAATCATTAAACCCACGCAGCACAAGTTGGAATCACCAACCCAAGTTAGGCTGATTGGCCATATTTCCCAAAGTGATTCAGGGGTAATGTTTCCTATTAGTTTAAAAAAACCTGAAAATCATGTGTTTAAGCCAGCTGATACAATGTATACAGTCTCCTTTACAAGCGTCATCATGCAACATTTCTCTGGTGTCACAGACGACCCCTGAGTGATATAGGAGACTAGCTGGTATTCAAAGTATGAAATACTAGAGAAGAAACTGGACACACCTGCTGCAGTTAAAGACAACTTAAAGAGGCTTTTTCCAGATCTTTTGCGACTTGTTCCAACATCATGAGTCATCCACAAACTGTTGAAAGAAGCATTTTTATAAATTTACTGCAAGCTTGCTGGTGATAGTTAAGGGATACAGGAAAAAAATGAAATAAAGAAAACTGGAAAGGATTGCTGCTGCTGAGATCACTGTAATCCAAAACAATATTTCAGAATATTAACTGTGGTTGTCACCTATGGAAGACTGCTTCATGTGGTGTATACCAGGTAAACAAAAATGTAATCTCTCATGCATGGCTTTTGGGTTTCCTACATGAAATTCTGACTTTTAGCAGCTGCATGTATGGTTCATGGACTGTTGTGTGTATCATTGTAAAGCAATTTATTATTTCCTATTTCATAGCTCCCCTTAATATGTATCTTTTGGAGCCAATCTGTTTTTCTCCAAACCCTTCCAGGTGCTTTTATATTTGCCAAGACTTTTCATCCAAATTAGCGTGTTTTTCACTCAAAGTTGGCCATGGTTAGATCGCTTACCTAAGACAGATCACATGACCTGATGCCACAAATAGTTTTCTTAAATAATAATATACAAGTGACAATTTCTGTATTCTGATTGGCTAGGAACTTCTCAATTAATCCCAAATCAGTACAATTTCATCAGTGCAGAAAAGTGAAATTGAGTGCAAAATGGTGAAATTGAAAATGATTGACAGCTCAGACAAAAACTGAGCTCAGACAGACAAAATGGCAGACATAACTTAGACAAAGATTGAAACCCTTTACCTAAATTTTTATCCTCGCACGTACAAGGGGTGGGGGGGAGTGGATGCCACCCCCCTCATGAGGTTTTTTCAAAAGTTTTGAAAAGACGATTGACCCTAAGGGGCTGAAACTTTCAGTAGCTGTTCCTTCCTTCTCTGCAGAAATTTTGATATGCCATGCTTGATTTTCCCTTGATGCAACAGGTGAAATTGCCTGTTGCTGATAGAATTTACCCACAAAGTAACAAATTTACTACAGGTGCAGAGAAAAAGGCTGCAGGTGAATCAAGGAGGGGCATTTTATAGACTAAAATTGGCCCATTTAACAGGGAAATCCCACCTAACCCTCAGGGTTGGGGGGAGGGGGAGCAAGGGGTGTACATTGATTGACATGGTGCATTATTATCAGCGCAGGCTCAAACCACAGAAAGGTTAAAAACCCTGAAACCTTAGATACACAATGTTGCTAGTTAAGTGCAGAGACTAATTTTGCACCAGTAATATACAGCCGCCATGCACGTTTCCCAGTCTCAAAAGAACTTAACACAAAAAGCTTAACGAACATGAGATTACACTTCAGGCCCAGAAAAAGGTAGCCATTCACATGTTAGTAAATCAAACATCTTGCTGTACACTGAACTTCAGCGCTTACGAGAGTTTGAAGGCCAATCGTTTGATTAACTTACCTCGAGCTTACTTCTTGATCTTCTGCAACTTGTGAATCCCTCCAACATTCTATGAACCGGCTACGTCCAGCGCAAACGCTTTCCTAATGATAGACTCGGAGACTCTTCCATCTCATCCTAGCTACACGAAGGTCAAATGTTACACGTGCTGCAATTTTTGAATAAATTAGTGCCCAGTTTTTCCGGCTCGGCCGTCACCGGAGTAGGTATATCGCGGGCGTGGGGGCTCCCACATAAAAAGGAATGGGGTGCTCTTTGTACCGTTTAGGGCTTGATAAAACGGTTTTGGTACCCCTTAGGGTTTTCAGCCTCCAAAGTTCCACAGTGGGACCTTTTGCGGTACATTTTAGGTTATTGAGCCGAAAAAATATGAGAGGAGATGATGTTTTGTTTTAGAATTGGTACCCGGCTTGGTAGTGAAAAAAATTTCAAGCCGCGCCCACAAAGTAGGGTCTTGGTACCTCGTAGGGGTTCTTTTCAAAACTTCCGACAAGCATCCCCGTCCTTTTTATAAAGGAGCCCCTCCCCTCGGGGGGTGTAGGTATATGTGATGTATGGGGACATGTAATGTACCATACTCCATGTGAGGAATGCCACGACACCTTCATTTAACTTCATCCACCATCATTTCCTTCCATCCATCTTTATCTACCTTCATATTCCTTCATCTAACTTCCTTCACCTTCCTTCACCCTTATTAACGGTCATGCGGCCATCTAGCTTCATTCAACTTCATATTACGTCGCTGTTCAACTTAGTCTAACGTCACTGACCTTCCTCCACCTTCATTTACCTTCATTTAACTTTATTCACCTTCATTTACCTTTATCTAGCTTTATCCACCTTCATTTCCTTTAGTCTAAGTTCATCCGTCACTCTGACGTTATTTACCTTCATCCAACTTCATTCGTCTCCATCTAACTTCATTCACCTCAATCTGGACTTCATCAATTTTCATCCATCTTCATTCACCACCTTCATTCGCCTTCATCTAACTTAATCCACCTTCGTCATTTCTCTTCATCTGACTTCATCCACCTTTACGGCTCGCTAACGGTTAACCCCGTTGATACCTTCTTCACTACCCTTCCTTACATCTCCATGCTATTGGTTACAGCTAGAGCATATAAGATCATTACTGTGCCTTTCAATGACATGCGGACCCAAAGCTCAACCGACAAATGCGTTTTTCGCTACCGTCAATCAAATGTTCGGCGGCTCCTTCCAGCTTCCGACTACTGCCGAGCACTGTTTCGTTGTCTAAACTGTGCTCAATGATTTGATTACCGCGCGCTCGACAGTAGTCAGAAGTTGGGAGGAGCCGCCGAACATTTGATTGACGGTAGCGAAAAACGCATTTGTCGGTTGAGCTTTCAATTTTAGAGTCCGCATGTTATTGAAAGGCGCAGTAACGCTAACATTCTCCACCTAAAATTAATGTTTTGTTGTTTCACTTATCCTGACCAACTTGATAGTTTACAAGGTACATTTTACAGTAAAAATGAGGGAATATGTTACTAAACGGCAGAATTTCATCTGTATATATAACAACCATGTTCTTCCGTTACTTCTGTACAAGAAGGAAAAAAGAACCCATCGTGATGTCATCGTTTTCGAGAAGCTCCGTTATCATGATGGATTCGTGTGGACGGTAGGCCTAACCGTAGAAATAAAGCTGCGTTTTCAAATTTCTCCGGCGACCTTTGACCAGTGGGGGGTAACCCTGCGATGGACTAGAATCACATTCAGGGCGGAGTAGAAATACTCATAGTTTCTTCATACTACTGAAACCGGAGATAAGCGCCGGCCTGATGGACCACTTTGCTCGTATGCAGACTTAACATTACCTTTACCAAACTGCCTTTATTTTCATGAGTACAAATCTTTGACAGCGCGGTTTTAATGTTAGTGCATTTTGAGAGCGAGTTTTCTAAATCGGGAAAACTTTTTCCACCTCATTCTCAGAGCACAAACTCTACATAATGTCTTATTAAAATAAAACTATTTCTTTACTACAAAGTGTGTATCTGTCTATTTCTGCCAATGTTTTTGTACGCCGTTTCGTCTGTTCTCCCGCTCCACCCGGTCCCATATCCCGCCGTTCGCCGACTAAAGAAGCGCTGGAAGACTGGGCCGAATCTAACAGAGTGACGGAGTCCTGGGACTTGAGGAGTCGCGATGAGGCGAGGTTACCCTGCGGCGTGTTCACAACTTCCTGGTCTTGTTTTTGTTTGACGTATTGGGTAGCTTTTCCGAGGAATATGATGCTGTTTAACACTTTAACGGACGTAAGGCTGTGTAGAGGACAAGATGGCAAGTTAAATCAAGTTTTTGACGTAATATATCAAACACTCAAGACCATGTTTGACCGCTTTTCCAAACACCGAGAAGAGAGTTAAAAATGCGAAGGGTGGCTGAGTATTTTTGACAAATTTCGAGGTGTTTCGAAATGTAGTCGCTCGCTACTCTAACTATGTGTTGTTTGTTTGTGTCCTGACCTAAACATGTAAAATATATTTTAACTAGCTGCCTGGCATTTTTAACTCTTAGGTTATTTCAGGTAGCCAGCACCCCTATCATTTTTGTTTTACTGTAGCAAAACATTTTAATTTCTAACTCTGAGGTGAAATAAACGTTTTTGTTGCTGTGTTGTTGTTATGAAATCACAGGTTCACACAGACGAAAATGAAAGGAAACGAAAATGAAGGTCTTCATCACTTCAGCAGGGAAATTTAATATTCCAATGCCTAACCCTCTTACAGGATGGATAAAGAGCAGTTAGAAAATTATTGTTATTGATACAGCTGTACTCACAAGACAAAAGTCATCAACAGCAGGCAAACTCCAGCTAAACCATGAAGCTTCACCGACTGAGCAACCTCTCTAACAACCTGCAAACACGACAATACAAAACGGTTTTTATTCAAAACCATACTGCGGTGCGTTTTCACCTATCGTCCACATTAAACCGTAGAAACAGTGATCTTTTCCAACGAAGACGGACAATTTTTTCAAAATGATTTTCAAAGTGAAAACTTCCAACTCTATTAGGTGTGGCCGAGTGGAAAAGCAGACTTCTTGAAACGTTTGCTTCATTCCATTTGTGAGTCTACACTAAAGAAATTTCACACGCGTAATGTAAGGCAGCGTCCAGAGTACGCTGGAGAAATTTGAAAAAGGAGTTTCATTTCTAGGTTAGGTCTACCGTCCGCGCTAATCTGTCACGAAAACCGGCGGAGCTTTTCGAAAACGCTCTTCGAACCGGACGAATTTGAGAACACCGGCTTTGCGTTTTGGTATGGAGGAAAAACATTTTGAAAACGGAGCTTTTCGAAAACGATGGCGCCACGATAATCATTTGATTTTCCTGCCCGAGTTTTCCTGAAACACAAATCTAAAGTGACCGGTGAATGTTGCGTAATGTGGACGCGGCTAAGATCCCTACCGTTTTCCGAGCGTATGACCAAAGACGGTGGTGTTGAATATTCTATTCTTTTTCCGCTAAACGAAAAAGAGATTTTGAAGGACGTAGTTTAAAAGAATGAGGCTAAATTGTTGAAGATCTGGTGTCCGTGACGTAAGTCCGCTATTTTTTTTGTTAGCAATAGGTACTTCCACGGTAACCTTAAAAGGAACTTCGTCACTCACCAGAGAACCAAGTGGAAGAGGAATAAAACCCATTCGACGGGAAACAAGGTCAAAATGATCAGCATGGGCCTGAAACACAATACAAAGAAAGACGGATAAAAGTACAAACTGGCCTCAAGTCAGTTAAACAGTTTTAATTCATGCCACACAATTGCTTTGAAACTGAGTTGTACGGTATTAGATTTGAGTCAACAGCAAATTTATCCACGCCACAAAATAGTCGAAATCGGGGGCGTTTTGTAAAACAGGACAAAATCTACTTCACAGGTCCCCTCACACGAAACACAGAATAACTCTTCTTATTAGATGCATAGTTATGGCTAGCTACGTGAGCAGGCAAAATGAATCAAATCCTGCGCTGTGATTGGCTACACGAGCGGGCAAGATGTCGCTATCTTGTTCGCTCGGGATTACCCGCGGTGTCCCGCAAGAGAATAGTGTTGTTTTTCCATGTAATAAATCCTTTATTGACCAAGCTTGTTCGGTCAAGGTAGCTCAATATTGGCCTCGTTAATTTTTTGCGTGTTTTTGGCCAACATGTTGTGAAGTTTATATGAAATAATTCATATATGAACTGCGGTTGTAGCATCGCACCGGTATCGCGGAGGTCACGGGCTCGAATCCCGTTGAAGCCCTGATTTTTTCAGGCTTCTTCTTTCCAGTTGCTTAAATTGGAAAANAGCGTATGACCAAAGACGGTGGTGTTGAATATTCTATTCTTTTTCCGCTAAACGAAAGAGAGATTTTGAAGGAGATAGTTTAAAAGACTGAGGGTTAATTCTTGAAGATCTGGTGTACGTGACGTAAGTCTTCAAGGTATGACAAGTCCGCTATTTTCTTGGTTTAACCAACCGCTCAGTAGTCATATCGCAAGCCTGGGCTGCCTGTGGTTCACTTAGTAATAGTTACTACGGCAACCGTAAAAGAAACTGTCATACTTACCAGAGAACCAAGTGGAAGGGGAATAAAACCCATTCGACGAGAAACAAGGTCAAAATGATCAGCATGGGCCTGAAATACAAATATACAAACATACCAACCATCAGTTTTATCAGATTTCATAGAACAGGGATTTTTTTCAGTCAACTGCTTTGAAACTCAGCTGTAGAGGTGCTAGATTTGAGTTTACAGCAAAAATAAGCTCATGCACCGACGCCAGGAAATAGTAGCAATCACATCAGGGCTATACAAAAATGCAGATCCGACCTAACACGAAACACAGAATAACTCTTCTTAATCAATAATTAAAGCTCTGTAATTAATAATAGACACTGAAATCAATAATTGCACAGAATATCTGTTTATTGCATTGTTATGTTCGCGGAACAAGATAGTAATTTTAGCGGGACACAAGATTGTGGAGGGTTGGGGGGAGAGGTTGGTACTACAGATCTCTGTACACGAGGATGACAAAGTTACTTTTGAGAAACTTTGTAATTCAACTGCATGGAAATAATAAAGTGCGAAATGTCTAACGTTCTTTTGTCGACTTGACGTGGCATCCTCGGCGAGGAGAGCTCTGTACTCACAATAAACCTGAAACAAAACGGTTAAGGGACAAAATCAGTAACCTTAGCAACCTATAACTGGTGGTGCTTAGAAAGCTGTTTACGAGTTTCCGGGCTTTGGGTTGGATATTAGTCATTTGAGGGTTACTCCCC